CCCGCTGAGCGGTACCCGGCATACAGAAAGCCCCTAATAAACACCGGCACGGCTTTTGTGTGACTTTAGTTCCTGTGAACTAAGCTACACTAGTCTCTAAATGTTTGCAAAATAAAAGTCCGTAATAAAGTACTTTAAAACAGGGATGTGGGAGCAGGTGAAGAAAAAGGCAGGAGAAAAACGTTCTCGCGTCGAGTTCCTTGCTAGCAGGGGTCCAGCAGAGTTTCATAGACAAGAATTGGATAATTGCCTTGTAAAACTGGGTATCATTCCTCAATTAAAAGCAATCCTCACAAACCAATCCAAACAACTGCAAAGCAACCTCTCTCTAGTGATCATTTAGTGATAAGAAAAATAATGGCTGTGAAAAGGCTTCATAGTGCAACTTCCTCTTCCTCTGTCAGATAGTATTAATGCTGTGTTGTATGAGAAAGAAAAGAGGAAAGAACAGAGAATGCATCCAGAAGAACAAGGACTGGATTTCCCGGAGAAAGAAGCCTCGTCACTGAACAGTATTGCATTCAAACAGAATGGATTGGTTTCATTTCCTCCAGAGGTAAGGAAAGCAAACCTCTGCCGTGGTGCAGAGTCAAAAAATGCATTTCCCGCTGACAGTAGACTGCTGCAGGTAACTACAGTATTCCATCCTTTCTGTTCTCTCTGTGATTACTGATTTTGTTGTATGAGATGTCCTGTACTTTCAAAACTTCACTCACCAGTATTAAATAAAACTAAGAGGCTGATCTGGCTGAGAACAGAAATTCTGTCAGAGCTACTTGAAGTGTCATGTTTCACTGTAATGTCATATACAACTTTGTAAAATCTGTAGGTTTAATTATCTGTGACTGTTACCAAGTTATTTTAATGGTGTTAATTTGGGAAGTGTTTATTTTGTTTCAGAGAATTTAAGAGAATGGCTCTTTTATCTTCAATATATTTTGCTTCCCCTTTTTAAACAGCTTCCAAAAAACACTTGTAACAGACCTTCTGTGTTGCTGAGAAATGCCTTTCAAGATGTATTTTATATTTCATGAAGATACTACAATACTTTGTATGTTATTAAACCAAAACAAATTGTACTACTGTATGCATTGTCATGGCCTTTGACCATTTCTCTGAAGACTACTCAAGTGTTTTATTTCACAGATGGTGTCATCTCTAAAAGTGAAAATAATGTTTTTCTTTCCGCTTGCATTATCAGATCTCCTTACAAAAATTTTAAATGTGTTAATTCCACTGTGAACTTAAGTGAATGCAGTAGCTGTCAGTGGAGATACTTGGCTAAATCTACAACAACATAAAAAGCACCTCCCAAGCTTCCAACACACAACTCATTTCTGGGACCATTATGTATTGAATATTATAAGGGTAGGAGTTGATTTGCGGATAATGTCAGTCTTTTTTTCTATTTTTTTCCTTTGGAGAATATTTCTGAGCATAATTTGATACACTTGCAGAAAAATGTTCTGAATTTATTTGATTTCCTTGGAAAATAATCATAATACAAAATCTTAGCCAAATTGTGTACAGTTGTATAACATCAATGTCAATAAGAGTACAAGATGTCCAAAAAGGCAAGAAATCAGACCAAGGGAAAAACCCCAACCTAATAATAACAACAAAAACCCACTTAAAATGAACTTAATAATATTGTCTAAAAGAAAGATTCAGATTCAGAAGATAAAGAAGAGGAAAGAATAAAGGTGAAAAGCAAAGCGGGAAGGGAAGGGAAGGGAAGGGAAGGGAAGGGAAGGGAAGGGAAGGGAAGGGAAATTTTCTGAATTATACAAATAAATAAAACATAGAATCTGTTTTGTACCTAAGAAACCATGCCAGCAAGGAACAATGTTAGTTTTTCTTGTAAAGAGAAAGAGTATTATTTTCTAAAAGTTTAATTCTCCATCTTGAAGTGGCATTGTCTGCAAATGTCATTTCCCCCCAGGATAAGCAGTTCTGAATTCTTCGCCACTTTGCATTATGGTTTTCATACACCCACAGCAATGCTGAACACCATCCCCATGCAATCCAGGCAGATCCCCTTCCTGACAAGCAGCATCCTGGATGTATGCTGACAACAGCAAACATGCTGCTCTACCATTAATTGATCTCTTGCTATTGGTGTTTCTACGTTCAGGAGCAAAGGCAATGTTCCAGCTCCAAAGGAGAGGCCCTAACCCTCTAAGAGAGGGTAAACCAATGGCTTATAAAGGTAATAGTTTTAAAGTGTCAGAGTTACAAAAGTCAAAACTTCCCTTCTGCAGGAGTCTGTTTACTAGATGTATGCTATAACAGTATTAAGAATGAAAACATTAAAAAAAGACCAAAAATAAAAATAAAAGAAGACAGAAATTAACATTTTAAACACAAATTGGCAGACCAGGGAAATTCCAGAGGAAGGCAGAACTGGTTAAAATTTAAAAAGTAAAAATGGGACCCATAAAATCATAAACTACCTAGAATAATACCAGTCATTGGCAATCCTTGTTTAAACAGTCATGCCAATGTTTTCAAACACAGAAGCAAGCAGGTTGAAGAACAGACCAACAGGGCTGTACTCACTTCATGGAATATATAAATATAAAGAATTTGCACCAGAATAACTTGCTGCTGTGTGGTACAGCAGGAGATGGGGACATCAGTGGCACTGCAGACTTCCTCAGACTCTGCTCAGGGTGGGAGAGAAGTGCAAGCAAGACCTTGCAGGGTGCTGACTGTGGGCCCCAGCAGTAACAGCAAAAGGGAAGTTTTCATTTACTGGCTGATAAGCCAGCAGATTTTCCAAGAGCTTCTACAAAGGAATGGAAACAGAAAGGAAGTGTGGGTGCCAAAAGGGTTCCTCAGGGACATCCTAAAACCTGCCAGTTTCAGTGTGACTGAGCTTCAGCTAAGCAGTGAGCAGAGGATAGAAAAGAGCTGCTGTGAGCAAAATGGGCCTGTTTGGAATCATAGAAAGTTTACTCAATCACCTATTCATCAAAATCATCTTCTGTGTAACAGCAACCAGCCTGTCCACAGACTTACTCTTTGGCAATGGTAATTGCCTGTTGCACACAGGCTTGCACAGCCTTCTGTACACACAAAAGCCCTGATCCACCCATCTTCACCATGGCAGTCACACCTTCAGCTGTGGGGAGGAGCAGATGATGACACAAAGAAAAGTAATGACACAAAAGAAAAACTAGTAATTAAATGGAGCATTCAAATGTTATGTGTGCCAGTCAACAGAATCTAATGGAAAATTAGGTCTCATCAGAGAAACCTAAGATGGCATTACAGTCTTTGGCTGTTCAAAGGTAAGGCCATAGCTGTACTAATTTTTTCAGGAGCTTGACTTAGTACCCACATGCTAACAAGGGGAAAAATTATTTTTTTGTGCAATGAAAGACAAATTCATTGCATCAAGAACTAGATGAGCGGTACAGAGTAGTTATTGGTGAGACAGTTGTCTTTGAAAACTGATGTTTCCTTCAGGTCCTTTTGGGTTTCCTAAATGGCCTGTAAAGTAAATATAAAATCACTGCCAATCAAACTTGAAGCGATACGGCACTGTCAGTGTGATACACAGTGACAAGAATGGGGTATCCAGCAAGAACTGTATAAAAAACTGTCTTCTGAAAATGAAAAGTGGAAACATTGTAAGGAACACAAAAGTGTTACCTTCATAGTCAATGTAACAAATTAGATAGTCAAAACCTAGCAGGTGTCGAAGTATATGACTGCAGCAAAAGGGCAGAGGTAATTCCTGGATATGAAACAAGGAAGTAATGAAGTTTTTAATCTCAGTGCATGGCACTGATAAAACTGGAATTTGGCCCACAGCTTAAAAATAGGGCAGAGAAAAGGAAAGGGCTCACTTTGGTCAGCTCATCAGGGCTGTAGCAGGAACAGGCACAAGGAAAGAACTAATAGCAGGAATATAAAGCCAGACACATTCAGATTCAAAATGAAACACAAGTTTTTAAAGACCAATTACCAAGTGAAACAAGTAATTCCTTATTTTCTGACAGTTTTGCTTGAGGGGTGTTGGGTAGCCTGGTGACATGAATTTGGCCTGATACAGATTGCATTAATTTGGCCAGATACAGATTGCACTTCAGGCAGTCCTCAGGCCCAGTTCACAGGAGATTGACTATCTCTACGAGCTCTCACATCTAACAGCAATTTCAAATAGTTTTATTTTTTCAATATTGTATCCATCATATTCAGTGCTGAAAAAAGACAGAATTTTAATGGCCCAAATGAGAACCACATCTTACTAAAATGTAGGTCCTTCAACTAAGCCTTCTAAAATATAGAGGAAAACTCATATTCTAAAGAGATACTTCATGGGAATTAATGGAGAAATCCAAAGATTATGCTCTATGGTTTAAATTGAAGCAAGTTATCCTAAAAAGTTGCCTTTTTAAAGTTGTATTTAAAGTTGCCTTTAAAACAAGGAAAAGACTTAATAAACCTTTCTTAATGTTATCATTAAACTCCTACCATTGATATAAAATATACTGCTGCGCTCTTAAAATACATATGCATTTGGAGACACTTTCCTTTGTGAAGGGTTCCTTGAAGTGTTTTGCTCAGCAGACATTGG